GGACGATGATGCTGCTGCAGATGATGATGATGATGATGGTGACAGTGATAACTTTCGCTCCAGCATAGGTGAGGGGTGGGGGGACTGCTCCGGTGCCCACTCTCCCTGTGCCATGGTGGGGTGAGGGGGCCACGGATGCTGGCTCTCCCCGAGGCCGTGGTGTGGTCTCACAGTTGATGCCCTGCTGCTCCCACAGAGGAGATCAGGGAGCTGCTGGCAGTGCTGCATCCTGACAAGGCCGACGACCGCGGGGACCCCATAGTGTGGCCTGGTGCCATCCTTAGCAGCGAGTGGGATCCTGATGCCGAGTTCCCTGACACAGCTGATGGGAAGGGTGCCGGGGAGCCGCTGTTGGGCACTGGGGTGGAGGAGGAGGCGGAGATGGCTCTGGCCATCCAGTATTCCATGGAAAACACGCGGCGTGAGGAGGACGATCTGGCACGCGCCACTGCTCTCTCCCTGCGCTCCTACTACCGGGAGCAGGAGCAGGTGGAGGAGGACGCTGGGCTGCTGGCCGCGCTGGAGGCCTCGCTGGAGGAGGCACTGCTGGCGGCAGACACGGCGCAGGTGACGGTGTTCTGCTCCTTTGAGCGGGACGTGTCGGAGGTGCCGCAGGAGCTGGAGCGGGCGCTGGCGGGGCAGCTGCGGGCGCAGAAGGTGGAGAGCGAGCGGCTGCGGGCGCTGCCGGCCGCCGGCCACCACGCGCTGGCCCTGCTGCAGCGCCGGCACGCTGTGCACCTCAGCCTGCGCGGCAGCACCGCCACACTGCACGGCTTCGCCAAGTACACAGCCGCTGCCGCCCACGACCTCGACGCGCTGCTGCGGCGCCGGCCGCTGGTGGAGCGCAGTGCCACTGCTGTCACCGCTGCCACCACTGGTGCCGCACGCTGGGTGCGCTGGGACGCCTCCGGCACCGTCGTGCCCTACGCCCCTGAGGTGGCAGCGCTGCTGGAGCAGGCCTGGCTGCGCCGGGAGCGCCGGCTGGACCTGGTGCTGGACGGGCGACCCTTCACTGTGGACTTGGAGCGCATGGAGGAGTACGACATCGGCAGCGCCCGCGCCGTGCCTGTCTGCCGCAGCCAGCCCCCAACTGAGAGTGCCCGCTGCCTGCTCGGTACGTGCCGGTGCTGTGGGCCTGGCCCTGTGCTGTGCTGCGCCTGTGTTCACCGCGGCTGTATCCGGCAGGGCTGGAGGTGCCAGGGCTGGAGGAGGAGGTGCGGCTGATGCCACTGGCCGAGGACTCGGAGGAGTTCGCCGACACTGTGCACCATTTCTATGGGACGCTGGAGGAGCTGCACAGCCAGATCAGCGTTGTGCAGGTGGGTTTGGGGACATCGGACTCCTTAGGGTGCCCCCACGGCAGAGCAATGACGCTGCGGTGCCCGGCAGGTGCAGAAGCTGATCCACCCGCTGCTGTATAAGCAGTACCAGCTGAAGAAAGGCAGCGTGGAGCGGGCATGTGCCGATGGCACCGCTGCGGAGCGCGTTCTCTTCCACGGCACCACCAAGGCCTCCAGCCGTGAGATCTGCCTGCACGGCTTCAACCGCAGCTTCTGCGGCAAGAACGGTGAGTGCTGGGCAGATGTGGGATGGCGATGTGGGCACAACGCCCTTGGTGTGGGAACGGAGTGCCAAAGGGGACCGTCAGCACGAGAACAGGGTGCTGATGTGGGTGTGATGGTGTCAGCCTGGGAATGGGGCACCAAGGTGGAAACAGAGCCATCAACATAAGAACAGGGCACCAAGGGGGTCACAGTGTCATTGGCATGAGAACAGAGCGCCAGTGTGGGCACTGTGCTGACAGCATGGGAATAGAGCACAGGCACCATTGGCATGGGAATGGAGTGCTGATCCAGGCATGGTGACATCGGTGCGGGAATGGGACACAGCATGGAAACAGGGTGACAGTGGGGGCATGGTGCCACTGGCATGGAAGCAGAGTGCTGAGGCGGGCATGGTGCCATTGATGCAGGAATGGGGTGATCCTGGGGGCGTGGTGCCATCCGCATGGGAATTGGAATGCAGGGCCAAAGTGGGCACGGCGCCATCAGTGCTGAAATGGGGTGCTGCTCCGTGCCCGGCACTGCCAGCACACATCCCTGGTGCCCCAGCTGAGCCCTGTCCCCACAGCCACGCTCTACGGCCGCGGCGTGTACTTCGCAGCGCGTGCGGCCATCTCAGCGCGGGATCAGTACTCGCCGCCCAGCGCCGACGGCACCAAGTTCATCTTCGTGGCCAAAGTTCTGACCGGAGCGTTTGCGGCTGGGCGGCGGGGGCTGCGGGCACCTCCACGGCGGGAGGGGGCCAAGGGCCCCCAGCGCTACCACAGTGTCGTGGACAACCCCCAGCAGCCCGACATCTTTGTCATCTTCAACGACACCCAGGCCTACCCCCAGTATCTGATCACCTGCCGCCGCAGGGATCCCCTCTGACCTCCCTGAGCCCCCCGGCACTGTCTTTGCCACGGGAGCACCCCCTGAGCCCCCTGGCACTGGCTCTGCTGGGGGGAGGGTCCTCTTTGACCCTTCTGAGCTACCTGGCTCTGGCTCTGCCAAAGGGGCACCTCTTGAGCCCCCCCGACACCAGCTCTGCCACAGGGGCCCCCTTTGACCTCCTGGCGCTGTCCTTGCCCCTGGAACAGGCTCTGCCAAGGGGGCACCTCTTGAGCCCTCCCGACACCAGCTCTGCCACAGGGGCCCCCTTTGACCTCCTGGTGCTGTCCTTGCCCCTGGAACAGGCTCTGCCAAGGGGGCACCTCCTGAGCTGTCTAGCTGCAGCTCTGCCATGTGGACCCCCCCTGACCCTCTAGAGCCCCCTGGCACCAGTGCTGCCATGGGGGTTACAGTGTTCACCCCCACACCAGGTGCTCAAGGAGTGCCTGCCATGGGGGCTCAGGGTGCAAGGGGATTCCTGCCCTGCTTAGGGGACTCAGAGTGGGGGGTCCCTACCTGGGCACACGCCTGGGTGCCCTCATGCCAGGGCAGGAGTCCGGCAGGAGGACTTGGGATCACCAGTGTGATGCCAGTAAAATTGGGAATAGAAGTGCAAATAAAACTGGGAATAAAATGTAGCCTTTTATATAGCTGAGATTGAGGGAAGACTCTGTGTGTGGGTTCCAGTCCTGGCTGGGAGCACTGGATTAGGGGAGGTTATCAGTCCCAACCAGGATCACTGGGATTAGATTGAGTGGGGTCCCAGTCTCAGCTGGGAGCACTGGGAGGTGGGGTCAGGCACGGGCTGCGTGGGGATGCTGTGTTCCCCCGTGGGGTGGCTGGATTGGGTGGTGACTCTGGGCCACCCCGGGGCTGGACTGGGTGCCTCCTGCACCCCTGCCTGCTTCCTGCTCTCTGCATCCTGCCTGCTCACTGCCTGCATCCTGCCTTTTCCCTGCCTGCTGCCTGCTCCCCACTTGCTGCCTGCATCCTGCTCCCTGCCTGCTCCCCTGTCCCGCAGGTTCCCCCCCGAGCTGTGCTGGGGGATACCCGGGTGCCCACCCTATGAGTGTGGGCAGGGCCCCCGCCATGGGCAGTGCTGATGCCCACTGAGTGGGACCCTCGGGCAGGCAGTGGTGAGGGGTAGGGGGGACACAGTTCCCCCAGGCATCTCCACGTGCCTGTTTTGCCCCAGGTCACGGGTGGGCAATTGCGGGACTCGGGTTCTCGGTGGCACCCGCACCCGTTTGGGAAGCCCACACAGAGTGGGCACGAGTGTGACACCAGCGGCTCCGGCCCCGCAGGCACGGGCGGCTCCGGGGCAGGGCCGGCCGTGGCACCGCGCCGGCGTGTGCCAGCCCCGCTGACGTGTGCCAGCTCTGGGATCCCCGGGGGCACCGTGCCAGCCGTGCCAGCCCCGCGCACGTGGCGCCGAGTCCCGCTCCAGGAGGAGCCGCCAGCGGACAGAGGTGAGAGGGACGAGGAGTGCAGAAGGGGTCCTGGCCACGTACCCACCCCCCGGTAGGGCCCAGCGCCCCCCGCCCCGCGGGTGACCCGGGCTGGGAGCGCCCGGCGCTGCCGGTGCCAAGCGTGCCGGACCTTTGTCCCTTGGCGCCGAGGGGCCCGCGGGGCCCAGCGGGACTGAAAGGGGCCCTTTGTCCGGCTTTGGCCGGGGGATTCGCTCCCTGCGCCCGGGTCTGGACGGGCACATGATCGCGGCAAGAGCGGCTGCGCCAGCACCGGATCCGGACCGGACGGACGGAGCGAGAGGCAGCCCCGGTATGGATGCAGCCAGAGCGGATTTGGGGGGTCTGAGCTGGGGTCCTGTCGAGCTGGGAGGGGACCCCGACCTCAGCACAGCAGGTGCGACATCGCACTGCCCTGGTCTGGGGTCCCTGGGGGTCTTCGCGCCACCCCAGTCTGCGGTCCCCGGTGGATGCGACAGCGCCGGGGCAGTTTGTCACGCACTGCCCCCGATGCGGTGGGGCTGGGGCCGGGGCCGGGGCCGGCTGTCCTGTGCGATGCCGCGCCAGCGGCTGGATGGGGAGGGAGGCAGCAGGAGGCATTGGGAGGCACCGGGAGACATCAAAGCCCCCGAACCCCCCCGTACATGTGTGCGTGTGTGTGTGTGTGTCTGTGCATGAGAGCGTGCGTGCACGCGTGTTCCTATGCGTGTGCACACAGCTGTGTTTGTGCTGGTGTGTGCCATGTGTGCCTAAAGGGTGGAGCTGGGCTGGGCACATACTTGTTCACCCGCGTTCGCGCCCGTGAGTGCGTGTGCAGCGGAGGGGGTTGCACACACGTTTGGGCAGGCGTGTGTGCACACTCACATATGCGCGTTCAGGCACGTGTATGACTTGTGTGTACGGTGGGTGGGGCAGATGGGCGTGTGCACATTCTGTGTGTGTGTGTGTGTGTGTGTGTGTGTGTGTGTGTGTGTGTGAGTGCCTGTGAACACATGCAGGTTGGTGCACGGGTGTGTGCATGGGTATGTATCTGCAGGAGAGAGCACACACGTCTGCATGGGCATCCACACCCATCCATGCCAGCGGGCACCTGGAAGCTGATGATTCTGTCCTGTGGCGCTGGCACTGGAGGGTTCCTGGGCATCACAGGGCTGGGGCCAGCAGGCAACACCAGCTCCGGTTCTCAGCATCGGCTCCAGTTCCCAGAGCAGCTCTGGCCCCCAACACTGGTTGTGGTTCCTGGTTACCAGCTCCAGTTCCAGGTACCACCTCTGGTTCTCAGCACCAGCTTTGGTTACGGCACCAGCTCCAGTTCCTGACACTGGCTCCAGTTTCCAGCAGTGGCTTTGGTTCATGGCACAGGTTCTGGTTCAAGGCATCAGCTCCATTTCCCGGCACTGGTTCTCGTTCCTGGCAACAATGCACAACTCCAGTTCTCAGCACCACCTCTGGATCAAGGCATCAGCTCTGGTTCCTGACACTGGTTCCCAGCACTGGCTCCTGTTCCCAGCTCCCCATCCACCCAGGGGCCCCTTGGCTCCCGAGGCCTCCCCAGCTGCCAGACTGGGTCCCTCCTGCAGCACCAGTGGCTGGAGCCAGGCTTTGTCTTGTGGCCAGGGGAAAGGCCAGTGGCCAGCAAGGTTGTGAGCACCATGCTGGAGCCATGCCCAAGCTGTGCCAGGACCCTGCCAGAGCTGTGCAAGGCCCATTCCAGGGCTCCTGTCTCTTCCCTCTGCCACAGTGGCTCTGCTGGGGCTCTGGATGCAGCAGCTGGAGGTGGCCCATGCCACCAGCAAACATTATGCTGCCCAGGCTGGTGTGCCAGTGATGTGCCCCTGATGTGCCCATGGTGTGCCAGTGATGTGCCAGTGGTGTGCCTGCAGTGTCCTGGTGCTGTGTCCACGGTGTTCTGGTGATGTGCCAGTGATATATATGCCTGTGGTGTCCCTGTGATGTGCCAGTGATGTGCACACACTTGTGTGCCCAGTTGAAGCTGGTGGGGGGTTGGAGCTGGTCACCCCTCGGTGCCTCCTGGGTGGGATGTCCTGGGTGTTCCTGAGCAGTGCTGGGAGCAGCAGGAGTGCCGGAGTGCCAGGGGGCTGTGGGACCCCCTTGTGGGAGCGTGGGATGGGATCAGCTTTGCTGGGAACACCGGGTGGGATTCACCCTCTCTCACTGGTTGCAGTGGTGAGGGTTAACTCTCTCCATATTAGATGTACTGGGTGCACTGGTCAGTTAACTTCTGTATGCTCGATGTGCTGGGAGCACTGGTGAGGGTTAACCCTCTGCATATGGGTCTACTGGGTGCACTGGTCACAACTAACCATGCTGGGTGTAATGGGAGCACCGATGGGGGTCGGATCCTGTTGCTGGCTGTACTGGGAGCACTGGTCGAGGTTAGCCCTTTCCATACTGGCTGTACTGGGAGCACTGGTCGGGGTTACCCCTGATGCCGGATGCGCCGGTCAGGGTTAACACTTCCTGCACCGGGTGCCCCACGGGGGTGCCCCCTCCCGCGGGGTGCGTTGAGTGCGGAGGGTGGGGCGGCGAGATAAGGCCCCCCCCGCTCCCCGCCCCCCGCCCCGCCCCTGCCGCGGAGCCGGGGCCGGTGTCGGTGCGGGCGGAGCCCCTGGGGCCGTTCACCCCCTGGAGCCTCCGCGGTACCGGTGCCGCTGCTCCCCCCCCCGTGCCGCATCCCCCCTGGAATCACCCTCGGTGCCGGTGCCGTTTCCCCCCCCCGGTCATGCCCCCCTGCCGCGCCCCGGCGGACATCGCGGCGCACGGTGAGTCCCCGCGCGTAGAATCCTCCTCACCCACCCCCCCTGTGGGGCCGGGAGCGGCGTGGGGGCTGCAGGAGGGGGCTGCGGGGATGCTGCGGGGCGGGGGTGGAGGGGGCTGCAGGGGCCGTGGGGGCTGGGGCGTGCGGCGTGGAGGGTTGTTACGGGGACGCGGGGTGCGGGGGGTGCTGTGCTGGGGGTGCGAGGGTCGTTTGGCGGCTGAGGCTCCAGTCCCCGGGGGCGGGGAGAGCTCGAGGGGGCGGCGGGGTCCCTATGGGTGCCTCTGTGGGTGGGGGGAGGCGGCGCGTCAGGTTCGGGGGGGGCGGGCTGCGGGGGGGACGTGGGCGATGGAGCCGGTGACTCAGGCTTGGCACCGGCGCGCGCCGCGCTGCCCCCCACGCCCGCCTCTCACCTGCCCCCCACTCCCGCCCCTCACCTGCCCCCCACGCCCGCACCAAGCCCGCCCCTCACCTGCTCCCTCCAGCTGCCCCCCACCTTTTCCCCACGCCCACCCCCCGCCTGCCACCCCACTGCCGGGGGTGCCGGTGCGGTGATGCCTGCGGTGCCGGTGATGCCGGCGCCGGTGATGTCGGGGTCCGGGGGTACCAGGAGGGCCGGCACCGGTGATATCGGGTGATACTGGCGATGCCGGGGCCGGTGGCTCTGCCGGGTTCCGAGCTTCTGCAAATGGCGCCTCG